TAAGCACATTTCTTTATTTCTCAATAAAAATCGATTTGAATAGTTCATTGATTTCATTATTTGCCAAAATTGGCCAAATTATGTATCAAAATGCATTATTGTGATTGAAATCACAGTGAACGAGATTTAAGAAAGAGTACACAAAAAGTAAACAAACTTTGAGCAGCATGTGAAACCCCTTTATAGCGCGCCATTCCAGCATAATTAGGGTTACTGGCCACAAGTCAAACTGTCATGTAATGATGAAAATTTACTTTTTCCGACATTTTTGTTATAGAAATCTATTTAAAAAAAAAAAAAACCAATTTTATGGACTTTGTCTACAAGTATTCTAAAGGTGATCCAAACAAGGCGTATATTATACAAAGGTAAACATAACATTGAACAATTAAATTAAGAAATAGTAAAACAATTTCCACAGTTTGTGAAACCCCTTTATTGTGTCACCATTCCAGTGTTATTAGGGTTACTGGCCACACGTCAAACTGTCGTGTAATGTAAAAATTATTTTTTTTTTCAAAAAATTTTTTATAGAAATTTAATAAAAAAAAGGAAAACAATTTTATGGATTCTGCCTACAAGTGTTAAGAAGGCTATCCCACAATATATGTCATACTTGTTTGTGAATTAAAACAATTGCTCTATCTCAATTGCTCTATCTAATTATATATTCTTTTATTTATATTTTTAGCCATTTTAAAAACGATTCTGTGCACCGCTATTAGTTGCGATAATTGTATGGAAACAAATCTTCGGAGTGTTAAGAGACAAGCCCATTAAACGCATATATTATACATATATGCATATAAAACAGAATAGAGAACAATTAAATGGTCACAACTGTGTTTGTTTGCGGTAGGGTCAGTGTGCGGTGATAAGGTTTATGCCTTCTAGAAGAAAGCGCAAAACAAAAACAGAGCAAAGAATTTGTTGTTATCTTAATGAACTACTCCATACACAGTTAATTTGTTTGTCATAAAAAAATAAAAACAACAACAATGAAATTAAAATTTTCTCCAAAGCGTAGAATTGTCAAATTAGATGGTCTCAACAATTGTTTAACGGATCTTATCGCAACGCAACGCAACCTAAGGTAATCTCATAGTCAATTTTTAATGTATGCCCCACTTAATTGTACAAATAAAAATAATAAAAAAACAACACAAATAATGAACTTTTTTTTTTGGTATGGCATTTGATACGACTTGATTGCGTCCTCTAAATGATAATAAAATGCTTAGGTGTTATCTAAGATTGACGATGATTTCTGTTCAAAGGTTCAAGACATTTTGGTCCCGGGTGGAGTTCGTAATAAAAGTTTTCTTTCTTTGGAAAGTTGTGTGTTTTGACTTTAATCTTGACATTGCCAAAGTTCATGAGATAAGATGTACGGTAAATGTTAATTTATACTTCAAATCAAAACGTTTTAATAAGTAATTGTTTGTACGCACGTGCACAAAAGCTGTTCAAAGTCCAAGTTATGGCCTTTTACAAAGTCATATGACTTTCCAAAATAACGTAATGTAATTACGAACAAGGTGTAGATTTTTTGATGCTCTCAATGCATGCAATGAAATTCAATGAAATATATTTAATGTCATTACCTTCTTTTTTATTTACAATAAATACAAAATCAAAGTATAATCAAGATGATGACGTATATTTCACAAAAAAAATATTTATATATAAATAATTAAAATATTTCGAGCACTGTGTCATTTATGTCGATGCAATTACTAAAAACATGAAAGTAAAGATATTAACTGATTGGTGTCATAATATGATTTCAAAGGAAATGGGGGAGCGCTTTTCATTATGGCTGCACCACAATTTGTTATGCATTGCAACATATAGGGAACGCTTTCGAATGGAGTTACACCACAATGTGATTTGATCCAAAAACTGATAAAAAATATTCATAGTTAAGAAAAAATACAAAAAATTGAACAAAAATAGAAAAAGTACAATGTTAATTTTTAGTTAAACAGCTTTGGTGTTAGTTATTGCATACAGTCACTTTTCTAAATGGTTTTGGAGCGATTTTCAATATGGTTCCATCACACACTTAAGGGATATTTACACTATATGATTATAATATTAAGGGATATTTACACTACATGATTTTCAATATGCTTCCATCACATACTCTTAAGGCATATATGAAATACTTCTCTTCATTGATTTAGAATTTCAAGTAGAACATGAATTGAATACATTTGCATATTATGCAATGTGTTTTTGCGATGTTATTGAATTGTTGTCTATTTTTTTGACAACAATTAATTGAATTACTAAAATATGTATTAATTCTAAAATGTTTGAACTTGCGTATGAAGTCATATTTAAACACAAAAAAAACTGTGTACATTTCCTAGGTTAATGTGTCAATGAAGGCTCGTTCCATTCGTGCAATTTGGAATTTGAACTGAACGTGAATTAAATCCCAAAGATAATTCCCATATGATAGCTATGATAATTGTGATTGAATTCCAAATAGTATGTGCATTAAAGAATGAAAAATGAATGTTAGAAATCGTATAGCACGTTTTCAGGTGATAGGGTTGAATAAAACCAGGAGATTTAAATCGTAAATTGATAGGGTTTAATAAAACCAGAAGATTAAAACTGACAGTCTGAATAAAGCGTTTTATCAAAAACATGCTTGGTGTAAATGATGCTGCATATGTTTAAGGCTCTATCAGACGAAATGTTTTTTACATATAGCATGTCACATTTAACATATGCATCAGCGCTTGAGAAAATATGTCAAAAATGTTTAAATATTTTTTCTAAACCAAGTAGATTTTTATAAGGTTGTTATGATATTTAGCTTTCAACAATTTTTACAAATATCAATAATTTTTCATTCAAAAATTTAAATACCAAAATTGGTTTGACAGTTCATTGTCCTAGCAGATGAGTCGATGCGATCATCTGTATTTTATCTACCATGGTACATACGTACTTTTTCGATCCAGCGAGCCCTATTTTCATCAGAAAAATAGAATTTAATTGAAAGTGTTGTTCCAAGGCCCATTTATTTAATAAAGTCAATCATTTTAAAGTGATCTGAACAAACGAACGATATGGATTATTAAAACTGACAGTCTGAATAAAGCGTTTTATCAAAAACATGCTTGGTGTAAATGATGCTGCATATGTTTAAGGCTCTATCAGACGAAATGTTTTTTACATATAGCATGTCACATTTAACATATGCATCAGCGCTTGAGAAAATATGTCAAAAATGTTTAAATATTTTTTCTAAACCAAGTAGATTTTTATAAGATTGTTATGATATTTAGCTTTCAACAATTTTTACAAATATCAATAATTTTTCATTCAAAAATTTAAATACCAAAATTGGTTGACAGTTCATTGTCCTAGCAGATGAGACGATGCGATCACCTGTATTTTTCTACCATGGTACATACGTACTTTTTCGATCCAGCGAGCCCTATTGTCATCAGAAAAAAATAGAATTTAATTGAAAGTGTTGTTCCAAGGCCCATTTATTTAATAAAGTCAATCATTTTAAAGTGATCTGAACAAACGAACGATATGGGCGCAAGTTTTACCTGGCAATTTGTGATCCATTTGGCTCTTGTATCTACGTCCTTTGGAACGGAGAAAAAAATTAAATTTCCATTCAAACCTTTTTTTGCAAATCTTACAGAATTTCATTTTTTACTTGTATTATTTTAAAATCACGAGAATGCAATAGTGCCGAATTAAAAATCAAATTTGAATTGTGTATACCAATATTCTTAGCATAACTGTAAAACTTCTTTGATGACAGTTTGTCATATTTTGCAGGGAATTCCAGATATAAACAAATGTATTTGACAGAATGGGTGAAATCAGCTGGGACTACCTAATAATTGGGCCATGTGTTTTTCGTTTATTAAATTATAATGCCTTTAGGAAATTATCCAACATTACTAAAGGCTGCTAGCCACACATCAGACTGATGAAAAAGGAAACCTCGATATTTTATGTCAGAAATTAAAAACCTCCTTTAATTGTCATGCTCTTTAATTAGTTTGCACCTGCTGAATATTTCAAACTTCTGGCTATAGAATAATTCCGATTCCTAATTACTAAAAATATAATGTGTCAAATATGACACCTTTGTGATTAAAAATCATTTTTAACTTAGCTAGCCCTTAAGACATGACAAATGCAAGAGAATACGTTTCTAAAGACTGCTGGCCACACATCAGCCTGATGAAAAAGAAAACCTTTCAATTTAATATGGCAAATTTAAAACCTCCTTTAATTGTCATGCTCTTTAATTAGTTTGCACCTGCTGCATATATAAAACTTCTGGCTATAGAATAATTCCGCATACTAAATACATTCTTTGAATATTATGGGTCAAATATGACACCTTTGTGATTAAAAATCATTTTTAACTTAGGTAGCCCTTTACACGTGACAAATACAAGGGAATACGTTTCCGTATTCAATAAATAATCTTTGATACCATATGGCATTTTTTATATAATTTTGTTTTACAACTCTAATTAAAGATTGAAAGAAGAGAAAAAAAGAGTGGCTAGCAAACATCTCTTCCGTTTGCATTTTTTTTTGTAAAGAGCAGTTTCTGAGTGTATGACAAGAAAAAAAATATATACACCTTACAACAAGCAACACATGAGCGCCATGTCCGAAGAGCAGGAGGTGGGAGAGTAAAATGTAAAGCAACAACAAAAAAAACCACATATACGGAGAGTACGTATATACTTGTGCCGGAATGACTTCAACCACACATTGGGGGTATAAATAAAACAGCAAAAAATATGAACTTTGGACTCTTGATGAAGTACAAGACGTACTGGCAGGCAAAACAAACAGCAATTGTTTGCAAATGTTGGGTTTTTTTGTTTACTTTTGAGCAATTTGGAAACTTAACTTCCACCAGGCATAATTGACTTAAAAAGGGAATTTTTTTTTTGTTTTCAGTTTTTTTCCCTTATAGTACCAAGTGTTTAGCTTACCTTTTCTAAGCATTCTTGGCCAATTGCTTTGGGATCCCATTTGACCGCCTGCTGGGTACCGTTAGGCAAGTTCACAATGCACCACATTTTTGCTGAAGGGGGGTGGTTTAACCTTTTGTTTTCTTTTTAGAGTTTGAGTGGTTTAAGGAGCAACAATGTTCCTTGGTAGGTAGTTCGTTTAGCACTTAAGTTTTGTCTTCTAGCTAGATGACTAGATATCTTATTTAGAATTGGATACTGTATCTTGAAGATACCTGACGTATCTTTGTTTTCGGTTTTTTTATATTGCTGGGTATTTATAGCACTAGTGGGAAGTTGAAATTCTAGTTGGTTGTTTTTTTATTTGTATTTTAGAAATATTTTTTTTGGTTTTGCTTTGCGGGTCTTGCCAAAGAAATGCCACAGGTTGGAGTTGAATTTGGTAACTGGTTCTTTGAATTTTTCACAATTTTTTTTTTAATTTCAGCCAGACCAAGACAAGTCCTTATTTTTCAATAACTCAAAGAAAATTTTTTTATTTTTCGTAGACGAAAAAAAAAAATCCAAAATATTTTATACTAAGTATTCGGTCTATAAATATTTGACTTTATATAGCCACAACTTCGACTTCGACAATTGCAATAACACACATTTGTAAAATAGCTCAAAGTTCCCATTTAAGTTGTTGCTGGTGTAGTTATTCAAAAATATCTGTGTTATTTTGTTTTCCAAATTTAATATTTTTGTTCGTGAGTTTATTTTTGTTCGTTCTTTCGTTTTTTATTTTCTGTACAACATATCTATTTTCAAATTCACATTGATTTTTTTAAATTTTGTTTCAATAAATTTTCTTTTGAAAAACACTTTTTTCTTTCAAATTATTTTTTGCATTTATTTATTTCCTTTGCTTTCACACACACAACTTTTTTGTTTGAAATTCCATACAACTCTGTCTGCTGCTGGTTAGTCTTCCGTTTCCACAACTGAAACGGACAAAATACGACGAGCCGTTATAACCAACTGATTTGTTCAATGCTAAACTCACACCAAAATAATGTTCAGCTGCATGTCAAACATTATCTCTTTCGCTCACTCACTGGTTCTCTCACTCTCCTGCTCTCGTATGAAGGCAGACAACAAACACATTCTCAGTTGAAAGCAACAGATACTCAACCTTTGATTTCATCGTTCATTGAACAAACACAAACAGGAGGAAAATGTGTTTGGTATTTTTCGACCAGTTTTTTAGCCTAGAATTTTGGTCAGATTTGTAGATATTTGTCCAGTTTTAACATTTTATATTATCGAACGGAACCCACACCAGTTATTTAGTTTTTTCAAAATGATTAGGCTTAATCCAATTGTTTTTGTTTTTATGTATTTTACTACTAACTAAATACTTGGCCAATTGTTTTGCTACTGTCTGGCAAAGAGAGAAAATGCTAACAATTAGAATACAAATAAAAAAAAAAAACATTAAGTTCGGCCGGGCCTGACCCTCCACCATTAGGAAAGAAAACATTTTAATATAAAGCTATCTGAATTCAAGCGTGTTCCACTTTTAAACTACAAATACCAGCAAGACCGTTTGGTCTGCCAATGGAGCGAAACCCCACTAAGAACAACAAATACCAATTTTTAGACGAATCCGTGGAAAAATGTGACAAAATGATCAAAATACCGAATATTGGTATATGGGGGCTATACGAAAACGAGTACCTATATATATAATGTTCTAGCACCGGATCTAGAACCCATTATGACCTACATATACTAATTTTTAGACAAATCCGTCGAAAAATGTGGCAAAAATAATTAAAATACCGAATATCGGGAGGTACTGTTATATATCGGGGGCTACACATTAACTTGGACCTATATATACAATGTTCCGCAACCGGAACAAGAACCCCTTATGACCTACATGTACCAATTTTTAGACAAATCCGTTGGAAATGTGTTTAAAATCATCAAAATACCGAATATCAGGAGGTACCGTTATGTGGGTATATACGATATCGTGGACCTATATAGACAACTCTCTTTCAGGGAGTGAAGTGCTAATAAGGACCTCCTGGTGTAGAATTTCAGACAATGCCATTGAAAAATGTTACTAAAATCATCAAAATACTGAATATCGGGGGTACCGTTATATGGGGGCTATACGATATCGTGGACCAATATAGACAATCGGACTTCTCTAAATCGACATAGAATTTTATGCTGATAAAGAATATACATATATATTTTTGTGGGATCTAATATTTATATTTCGATTATGAAGGGTATACAAATTGGTTAAAGATCAAAGGATAAAGGGGAATAACCTTAAAGGTAAGGGATTTTTCAGCTTTAATGGTTCTATTGCCCAGGTAATGTCATGAAAACATACAATTAAATAGTTTTGTTGTACCTACATTGACGAATTTATATTTTGAAGTTCTTCCTTAGATATGGTCGTGCGACTGCAGGGAATTAACATTTAATTCCGAAAGAGAAACAAACACAAAAATTTTGTCATTTTCACGCCTTTTAGAGGGTAAAAAATCAGGGAAGACCATAATCGAAAACAGAAAAAAAGGAAAATCCCTTGTCGTAGTAAAAACTTTTACATTCTTTTATAAATTGATGCCAGAGCTTAAAATGAGATTCATTGTTTTGCTGTGCGTATACATTGGAAACTATCTTCATTCCTTTCCGATTTTTTTTTTAAATATTTTTTTGGTTATTTTTTACTTTTCGGGTTGTTACAGAATAAAAATGATATGGCAACTCTGTATGAAGATAAAAAGGTGTTGAGTGATTGACTCATCATACACAATGTCTCTGCCGGAGTGAGCAGAGACCATTTACAAAAACAAAGATAATAGATAGAGAGAGAGAACACACAGTGTGAGTTTGACGTCGGCTATGTCGACGCTCTGTTAAATGCATCACCCACCTTCTGAATGTGGTTTTGAGTACTGCACCCCCTAGATTGCATATTGAGTGGTTTAACGTTATTTTTCGACGATTAAAAAAGTTACTAAAACACGACTTGGAATTGACAATCTATCTAACGTGATTTTTTTTCTAAAAAGATGCATGTAAACATATCATTAGAAGTTGGTGAATTCTAAAGATTACGGGGTATTTTCACGCCGAAATCACGATTTAAACTTTGATCTGTTTTAGCCTTGATTACTTTAACCTGGCATTTACATAGTACATTTAAGGAAATCAGAGTTGTATTTTATTATCACATTCACACTGTCTAGTATTTTTCAATTTTGTGCTACGATTATAAATTGAGAGGAAAGCAAATAAAATATTTTAATTTTCATTCATAATTTTTTAATTGTTAACAACAAATTATTAGTACAATTATGTAATGCCACATAACGAAGCAACGCGTTTACACCTCCATTGTGTGTCCGAAATCATGAGATATGTTTTATTCCACTTTAACTAGGATGTCTTGTTTCTTTCAGTGTAACCGATCAGTCTCAGCCATTGTCTCTACCTAGATTATCAGCTGGTAGCAGGTTTTGCCATTGTTTGAGCGCTCTCTGTTGCAAAGCATATGTTTAGCTCTCATTTGTATTGTCTAGCATTAAGAAAAGATAAAAACAATCCGGTTCATTGATAATGCAAAAACTGCATTTATTCATTTGTGGCCAACAGCAGGTGAGGAAAATGGCGCGCAAGCAAAGCAGATGTTCATTGAAGGAAACGGTGGTGTTAAATGACAGACTGTTGCTTTGGAAGGTCAGGACACATGCTGTATGAAATAACAACTAAATCATCTCAGGTGTTTTGATATTAAAAGGATGAAGGAGGGATTGATTAGAAATGGTTATGGGGATTAAAAGCAAATAAGAAAAAATGCATAATTTTAAAAGAGGGCAACACATCCGGATGTTGAATTTTAAAATCGTAAATGAAAAAAGCATATAAAAAATAATTTTGTATTTAAAAAATAAAATTTCAACGTAAATTTTACCTAGGCGCATTTTTGCCATACGCCCATCATTAAGTAGTAAAAATGTAATTTTAATAATTAATGAACTTCAAAATAAATATTAATAATTAAAAAAAAGCAGTTAAAACATGAATACCCTCCAGCATTCGGAATGCATTTGGAAATTTAAAAAAAAAAATAAATAAATAAAAAAAAAATAAAATTTTTAAAATTCAGTTCAAATTTTAAAAACACCAAATATAGGAAGACGGTGTTATATTGGCGTGGACCAGCATTAGAAAAAAATTTGAAAAATGTCGCAAATATCATCAAAACACGGAATATAGAGAGGTACCCTTATATGGGGGCTATACGCAGACCTGGACCTGCATACACAATTTTCAGTCACATTAGGAATACCAAATTTGAAACATTTTCGGTGAATAATGTTGCTTAAAACACCAAAATACTGAAAATAGGGAGGTACAATTATATGGGCACTATACCAAAACGTGAACCTACATGACACATTTTCAATACCAAAAGCCCTGGAGACATTATATACATTTGAGTAAAATGTTATCAACTTACTTCATTTCGTTCGGAAGCTAGAGCGATTTCGAAAGACCGACGGACATCCTTAAATCGACATAGGATTATATGCTGATAAAGAATATATACTTTTTGGGTCTAAAATGTATGTTTCGAGGTGTTAGAATGACAACCTAAATATACCCTCCATACTATGTATGGTGGAGGGTATAAAAAATGGAAACATACGTTTAGGTGAGAATACCTTTCTTATTTTACCATGGATTCACCAGTCTTGTCGCTTGCCATAAGGCTATCTTTAAGGAAGCTAAAAAATATAATTTTAACTATTAATAAACTTAAAAATCATTAAAAAATGCGATCATATGTGTATATGAGAATACCTTCCTTATTCTACCATGGATTCAGTAGTCCTGTTGCTTGTAAACGTTGTTTTTTAAATATATTAATGATACAATAACAGAGGGTAATACTACCTTTAAAAAACAATTTTTTATAAAAAATTGAACATAAATTTTATTTATGCGCAAATTTGTCATACGCCAATCTTTGAGGAGTTTTTAAAATATAATTTTAGCAATTAATTAACTTCAAAATCAATATAATAAAATGGAATCATATGTTTAGGTGAGAATACCTTTCTTATTCTACCATGGATTCAGTAGTCTTGTCGTTTGCCATAAGCCTATCTTTAAGGAGGCTTTAAAATATAATTTTAAATATAAACAATTAATGATCTTCAGAAACAATATTAAAAAAAAAATTAAGTCGTATATTTAGCTGAAAGTACCTTTCTTATTCTACCATAGATTCGGTAGTTTTGTCGTTTGTAAACGTAGGGTAAAATTACCTCTAAAACCCCATTTTTATAAAATGAACAATAACAATTACTGCATGCCTTCATGATTCCCACAGAAATCTGCACTGAATCTCTTCCTTCTCAGAAATAACGAAATGAAAATCCCCCTTGTTAAATTTGCATTTTCCACTTTAAAACCAAATAGAGCATGCCAGACAAAGTCAATGATAATGACCAATTTAATGAATATTTCAATAACAAGAATCAATATCATTTTTTAATTATAAATTAATTTTAAAGTAAAAATTATTTTTATTTATTGCTCGAATGATGCAATATCACGAGAAATTAAACAACAATCACTGAAGTTCACAAGCGGTAATATACCTATATTTTTGTGTGTATGTAGGTGGCATGTGCAGGCAGAGGTGCAAACGTCACTGGGTTGGCATGTGTTAAAATGAAAGGCAAAATAAACAAAACGTGTCTTCAATATGTTTGATGCCATAAAACATGCTCGTTGATCTCTTTATTCATGGATGACGTTTAATTTGTCGCTGCTGTGACCAGTGACCACATTAACTAACCTTACCCACATTTCACTCTCAAGTACGAACAATATTTATCCAATTTGTAAATTGAAACATGTCAATGACATTTTATTTTCAACATTTGCTTTTCCACCTTCATCGTAAGGGGGTTTTCGCATATTTCTTTATCTGATGGCTTTCGCTTGTTT